TCTGTGAGCCACAAGCCTAGGAAAGACTCCTCTGCCTTCTGCTGTCATAGAATTTTATTTTTTCCTTCCATATTTCCTAGCTCAATTTTTATTTGAAATTATTTAATTAATGTCTGACTCAAAAGCTTTGTGAGAATGGGGACTGTCGTCATTTGCTAGGGCTACTGTAACCAAATACTCACAAAATGAGTTGTTCCAACAACAGAAAGTTATTGTCTCATATTCCTGAAGGCTCGATATCTGAAGTCAAGGTACTGTCTGAGTCAGTTTCTTCTAAGGGCTGTGAGGGAAGGATATGTTCCCAGGCCTCTCTCCTTGATTTGTAGATGTCTGTCCTTCTCTTTATGTCTCTTCATATAGCCTTCCCTCTATGCATGTCTGTGTCCAAACTTCTCCTTTTTATAAGGATGCCAGTCATATGAGATTAAGGTCCACACTAATAGGCCTTAGTCCATTTTAACTAATTACATGTACAATGACTCATTTTCTGAGTAAGGTCACATTTTGATTTCTGGGAATCATCCATATTTTGGGAGACATAATTCATCCTGTAACAGGGATCATGTCTGTTTTGTATACCATTGTGTTTCCAGTTACTACACAGTGCCAGAGCCATAAGTAAATAAAGAGATGAATAATGTTTTTTAGTATTTATTTAGCCAAAATTATGTCGTATAGGGATTAACTTCTGAACAACAAAGGATTTATTCCTGTATTACTTCTTCAATTCTATCTTAGCCATAAATTTTTGACTAAAAAAAGAGGAGGAAGACGTTGGAATATAGTTTTTTTTTTTTTTTTGCGTGAAAACAACATATAACAACTGATACCAATATCTGAGTTCAATTATGTGACTGTAATAGAGAAACTATGTCTTTGCGAGAACTCAGCAAATTTTTGTGGAAGAGAAACAAAGAGGAGAAAGGCAGAAATAGGGAAGACATCCTGTGGCTTTAAGGATTTGGAAACATGCTATAGAATATGGAAAGGGAATAGACCTGCTGGTCTCCATCCCTGAGATACTAAATAAAGCATATTATATCCTACAAAGATAGCCAAAATAAAATTTCCCATAACAATGCTCTTCTGCAATATAGTTTTGTCATTCTCCCATCAAAAGATAGAGCCTATCCTGTGACTGCTTTGATCAAAAGAATATTGCCAAAATGACACTGTCAGTTTTGGGTATAGCCTTTAACTGATCCATCGGTTTTATTCTTTTTTCTCTTGGAAGTCAAACAGCAGGTAAAAAGTATGACTATCCTAAGGCCACCATGCTGTCAGAAGAGCAAGCCATGTGAAGAAGCCCTTGGAAGACGAGAGACCATGTGGAAAGAAGGAAAGAGAACAAGGAACACAGGGGCACTAGATCTGGGAGTAAGGAAACCATCCTGGATTCAAGCCTGATTGAGCCTTCAGCCAGCCCCAGGTGCCATCTGAGTGCAAACATATGAGTTCTCTAAAGAGAACTGACCACCTGAGCTCCCTCAATCCTCAATAACTATGAGAGATGATGATAAAACTGTTATTCTAAATTACTCAGTGTCAGGGTTGTGGGTTATGCAGCAGTAAGTAACTAGAGCCACACAGTAAATGTTGTGTAAATTCCTACCATATAACAGGTGCTAAATGTGGTAGTGTTGAACAGATAAACTCATCTCCAGATTCAAAGGGAATTAACATAGAGAATGGAGAGAAATTAATCTTAGCAAGATGTGAAAAGCCTCCTACTATGTTTTCTTTGAAAAGCTTCCTCCACTGGAAAGCTTTCAAGATTCTAAGAGAATTAAGTTTAAACGGTCTCTTTCTACATTAGATCAGGCAAACAGTTAGGCCTTGAGAACCGCGGAGGCTTTGGTGAGAGAGCTCCTGGTGCTAAGCACTAGCAGTGTAAAATAATCCCTTGGATGACAGCTTATAACTGAGAATTATACTCCTAGAAAGTATTAAGATTTGAAAAGAAGGCATTCATCCAGTCTGATGGCTCATCAAAGTGTTGCCCTCTTTATTTCCCCACCCTCACCTAGACCCAGAACCCAGTATGGATCATTTGACTGAATATAATATATATATATATATATATATATATATACATATTTTAAGTATTCTGAGTAATGAAAAATCTTTAATTGGAGACTTACCCCTGGAAAATTCATCAACCTCTAGTTGCCTTAATGTTTACTTTGTTAAAAGCTAAGATCATAAAGAGAAATAGTTACACTTTTATTAATCAACCCTGCCTGGGGTTAAAAGAGCTCTGTGCATCAAGGCAAACTTTTACCTATAGAAATAAGTAAGTTTCAGATTTTGCAAAAACACTTTGCACAGCTGAATGTATAATTGTCCATGTGCAGAAAAAACCTTTGTAATGAAGCTCTCAAACATGTAATTCTGAATGCTTACATGTGTTCTGAATAGATACGTGCACCCTTTTTTGTACTTCCATACCCATGCCTGTACACTACCTGTGTGCACACACATCTCTTCTCAAATGTCAGACCTTAACATTTCCAGCTATACTCATGTCATCCAATTGCAATCTCTTATTTCTTTAAAAATTAAAACATACTTTCAACCAAAAGTGCTACATATTACAGAAAATTTATAAAATACAGAAAGATATTTTTAAGAGATTTCTCCAACTGTGTAGCTTCATTTTCCTGCTGCAGTTGCCACTGCACACTCCTCTGTGCGTGCCTCCTGATTCCAGCCTTGGCACAGCCTCTGAAGTATAAGGGCAGTAGAAGTAGCCATGGGAACCTTCCAAGTTCGGGTGAGAACTATGCTCCATGCAGTAGATGTTTAATAACTGACTCTCTAAATATAGTTCAGACTCGAATATTTATTGATACTTCTATTTATGTTAACAAGTAAGATAAAAAATCTGTAAATGAAACAATAAATACATGCTTTGGAGCATTACCTCTTTATGAATTACCCTAAGCAAATTCTTCATTGAATAAGATAATTTTCAAGCACCAGAAGAATATTTTCTCAATTGTTTGTGTTATCTACTTTACAGCTACAGACCAGACATACCTTTAAATTTAATTTGCACCATTTTCTTAAATCTAGACAACCGATAAAGCAACAAATCAGAATGATAGAGCTTATGCCTTTTCTACTGGACCATCATTGATGTTTTTAAGCATGAGATGATTCAAGGCAGTCTTGTTCTGTGAATCCACAACTGATTCCTTGTGTAGTTTTCTTCTATGTTTTAAAATTTGATTAATACGGTAATAACTCAAGAAATACGTGACAATCACAGTTCAAATGCTTGTTTTGTATCTTAGCACCAATTAAAGATTGATTCCATGATATTGTATTATATCTATCAGTATTCAAAAGCCACATAATTTACACTATTTATTTCCACTCTGGGTAGTTTGTTTTCAAAGAATATACCACACTTCTATTTCAAGGATTATCTCCTGAGAAGTAAGAAATAGCTTATAATTTCCTGCACATGCAGTTTGCTTTTTACAGAAAGTTACAGAGAGCTACAGGCAAATCTAAAAAAAGTTTTTTGAACTTTTGTTAATTGAAGTAAAAATTACATATAAAACTATCTTGACCCGTTTGCTTTTAAAAAACAGACTGCGCATAAGCTAAAAACTTCGACAATAGTCCTTCTTTATAACCAAAGTCTCATTGTCAGTCATACTATTTTATTACAATTGTTGATATTTTAGAAATAATCAATGTGCAGGTATCTTACTTGGGAAAATACTGAGAATTGTCTTGCGTTTATTCAGTAAAACACTTGTAACTCTAAATGCGTTTTAAACCAATGGAACAATGATACCCAATAGAAGGAGTTCTGTTATACCACACGTGGGTGATAAAAGAAAAACCTACTTATGTAAAAGAAATGATGAGTATGAATGGACAAAGGAATGGAGCCATCATAAGTATGTATTATTTGAACTTTCCACATGCATCTTTTCATCGCTGAACATAGTTCTAACTATGACATTTAAAATATTTCTCAGACTAGCTTCTATTTTAAATCATCATGCTTGGGATATACTCAACTACAAAGGAAAGTTACAGAGAGCTACAGGCAAATCTTGACTGAATCTAAACTAGCTGGTCAGTGTAGACTCCACTTACACATAAAATTCTACATTGGAAACAAAAATATTAAACATTTCAGAGAGAAAAACCAAAAGCATCAACTGTGGGAGCTTAAAATTCTGAAGTAAAGCATTGTATGATATTAAAATTCTCTTTCCTCTCTCTGCTGACAGCATTCAGCAGAGTAGCAAGGAATGGTTAATGAAGTTTGCAGAAAGGAAATATGCAGAGGAAGTCACTTTGGATCACTCTGTGTTTATTCATACCAAGACAAAATTACCCCACCAAAAGATATTCTCTTTACTATAAGCAGCATATTCTCTTTACTATAAGCAATATATCAACAAAAGAATATTACTATCAGTCAGAATGCAATTGCCACTGCAACACATTTTTGGCTATTTTTAGACACTCTGTGTCTTATGTTGCCAAACTTTAGAGGGACTCTGTCTTCTTACTTTACAGATGTGGTGATTCTGATCTTTGAGAATGAGAAGTAGCTCAGAAGACCCACTATAGACGTGTTTGATATTAAAATACAACAGTATGAGACAGTTTTGGTCTAGGGTTGTTGGATGTTGCTCTTCCATATTTTCTTACATTCCAGAACTGAGTAAACTAACCTGGGATGCACCATGCATTGTTAGTTACCTTATGCCTAATTAGGTTCCATTTGAACTTGGTGTTGTTCACACATTCCATTTTGGAAATGGCAATCAAGGAGAAGACTCATGGTGGCCAATATGCTGAAAATGAAATTTCTTTATTAGAGACTCTCAGCCAGTTACAGAAAAAAGATCAGACTCCCAGAAGGCTTCTCATAGAACCGTCGTGCTTTCTCCTAAAGAGTGAAAGTCGAAGAGGAACAGCTGTGGGTGGAGAAAGCAAAAAGCTAATTGTGTTTCCCTTCCCAATGCTAGGATCCACAGCATGAGCAAGGGGGCCTTGAGAGTCGGCCCTCCCTGGATCAGAACGAACACCCAGGCGAGGACAAGCCAGCGTAGCACGAAGAGGAACTCAATCCGCTGGATTCCGAGGAGAGAAGACGCCAAGAAGACTACTGGCGAGACCTGGAGGCCAAGCACAAGCGGCAAAAGGCGGAAACCGCCGAGTAGAGACGCCTGGAGGAGCAGCGGCTGCAGGCGCTGGAGAGGAGGCTTTGGGAAGAGAACAGAAGGCAGGAGCTCTTGGAGGAGGAGGGCGAGGGGCGGGAGCCGCCGCTAGAGGCGGAAAGGGCGCCGCGGAAAGAGCAGCGGCGCCGGAGCCTGGAAGCGCCAAGTTGGGAGGACGCCGAGCGGAGGGAGCCGGAGGAGCGTGAGCGCCTGGAGGCCCAGGAGGAGCAGAGGCGTCCGCAGGCCCAGGCCGAGGAGAGGCGGCGGCTGCAGGGGGACACCAGGCTGGAGGAGCAGAGGCGGCAGGAGGAGGAGGAAGGAAGGCACGCGGAGAAGCTCAGAAGGCAAGAAGAGGAGGAGGCCGAGCGAAGGGAAGAGCTGGAACAGCAGGAGGAGGTGCAGGGGCCGCCCGAGGCGGCGGCGGAGCTCAGGGAGGCCCGGCAGGGCCGGGCAGAGGAGGATCTGGAAGAGGAGGAGGAAGGGGAGGAGGAGCAGGGCCAGGCGCACCTGGAGGACGAAAGGGGCCAGCTGAGCGCACTTCTGAACAACTTTGAGGAGAGCCCAGAAGAACAGGAACACCCGAAACCCGAAGGACAAAGAGAGCACTCCGAGGACCCAAGCATCTGCGAGGAGCAGAACCCAGAGGCCGAGCGCGCAAGAGAGCAGCAGCAGGAAAGGAGCGGGGCTGTCCAGGGAAGCCCCTGGGCCGGAGGAAGAGAGAGAAAAGGGGACACGGAGCCTCCTCCGAAACCAGAGGGGACCGTGGAAGAGAGGAAAGAAGCAGCCGTCCCTGAACAGGGCCGCAAGGTGGAGGAGCTGCGGCGGCAGGAGGTGGACGAGAGGCAGAGCATGCCCGGCCCTACACGTTCCAGGTGTCTTCTGGGGGGAAGCAGATTCTCTTCCCCAAAGTCAACCTGAGCCCCGTGACGCCCGCAAAGGACACGGGGCTCACCGCTGCCCTCCAGGAACCAAAGGCCCCCAAAGCCAGCTCGGCTGCGCACGCCCTGCCCTCGTCCCTGAGCGTCCCCCACACCGTCATTCTGGTCACTGGCGCGCAGCTCTGCGGCCCGGCCTTCAGCCTGAGCCAGATCAAGGACACTGCGTGCAAGTCGCTCCTGGGCTTGTCGGAGGACAAGAGGCACACGGACACCTCCGCTGCGGAGAGCCCTCCCCGAGGCCCCGGTGACGCGCGGACGGGCAGCGGGAAGGCCAAGCTCCCCCAGGAGCCTCCCAGCAGCGCGACCGCGCTTTCGGAATGGGTTTCCATTTGGTCCAGAATCCTGAAGAACGCAGAGAGTGACCCGCGCGGCAGCGAGAGGGACCCATCGAGGCCCGCAGAGGCGCCCACTCCCAGGGGCCGGTGTGATTCCCGCAGAAACCTCCAGAAGACCCCGCCAGTCAATGCAAAGCTCTCTATTAAGCCTGCCTGGCAGAAATTCTCCGATGGTGGCACGGAGACCTCCAGACAGAACATGGAAGCGGAAGGCATTCGGAAAAAAACCCTGCTGGGACCCGGCGAGACAGCCCCACAGCCTCCTCCTGCTGGTGTTCCCGAGCTCCAGAAGGGTCCGGAGAAGTCGGAGTTGCACCGGGAGCCCACAGACACCATCGAGGGATGCAAATTTGCCAAAGACTTCCCGTCTTTTCTTGTCCCAAGCCTTCCTTACCCTGCGCAGAAAGTGGTGGCCCACACAGAGTCCGCGACCTCATCGAACAGCGAGACCACAAACGTGATAGCAAAGCCAGACCCTGTGATGCCAGGTGGGGAGGAAAAAATCTCCCCGTTTGGAATAAAACTGAGAAGGACCAACTACTCCTTGCGCTTCAACTGCGACCAACAGGCCGAACAGAAGAAAAAGAAGAGGCACAGCAGCACCGGAGACAGTGTGGATGCAGAGCCACCCGCAGTGGGGAGCTCCGGTGGAGAGAAAGAGACGGAGGGTGTGTCCCTCAAGCATGGCCCATCCCTTCCCCAGGAGCGGAAGCAAGCCCCCTCCATCCTAAGGGACTCCGCTGAACCTCCCAACAGCCGCTCTCCTCCTGTGGCCCAGCCTGGGCCCCCACTGGCTAGCAGCCAGAGCCCGGCTCCAGAGCACGACAAGGCGACAAACAAAATGCCATTGGCACAGAAGCCAGCACTGGCTCCCAAGCCCACCAGTCAGACCCCACCGGCATCCCCACTTTCCAAACTGAGCAGGCCCTGCTTGGTAGAGTTGCTGTCTGGCAGAGCGGGGAGGCCAGACCCAGAGCCAAGTAAGCCGTCCAAGGAGGGCTAGGAGAGCAGTGATCGCTGGCCACCCTTGCCCCCAGACCCCAAGGAAAGAAAGGGACAGAAGAGGGACGAGGAGGAAGAGGCCACAAAGAGGAAACCTGCTTCCCCACCTCTGCCTGCTGCTCAACAAGTGAAACCTTCCCAAACACCCGAGGCCGGGAGGAAAGAAAAGCCGATGCTTCAGAGCAGGCACTCTTTAGATCGCTCCAAACTTACCGACAAAGTGGAAACTGCGCAGCCGCTGTGGATAACATTAGCTCTGCAAAAGCAAAAGGGGTTTCGGGAGCAGCAGGCGACGCGGGAGGAGAGGAAGCAAGCCAAAGAGACCAGACAGGCGGAAAAGTTCTCCAAAGAAAATGTCGATGTCAGCCCGCAGCCTGGAAGCAGCAGTGTCAGCAGAGCAGGTTCCCTGCGCAAGTCTGCTCCATCGGAAGACAAGAGGCCCGAGACTGCAGTGTCCAGGCTTTAGCGCAGAGAACAGCTGAAAAAGGCCAACACGCTTCCTGCACCTGTGACAGTGGAGATCTCTGATTCGGCTCCCCCAGCACCACTGGTGAAAGAAGTCACCAAGAGGTTCTCCACCCCGAATGCTGCCCATGTGTCAACAGAACCATCGTGGCTGGCTTTGGCCAAAAGGAAAGCAAAGGCTTGGAGCGACTGCCCACAGATCATTAAGTAAAGAGTGACTCTTGCCCATCCCTACTGCCAGTTATTGGCTCCTCTCTTGCCCTTTTTTTAATTTATTTTTTATATGGAGTAACGAAATCAAGCTAGGGAAAAGAAGCATGTTTTATAGGCTCTAAAATAATGTTGAGAAACTGAACTGGTGGTGTTCATTATAAAGAGTGGATTTATACAACCCTAGGTCCTGGTGCCTTGAACTCCTCCTAGTTCTAAAGAGAAAATTCCATCCACAGGACCACATGAAGCAAAATCTCTAATCTTAGAACTGCTCATGAGAGCCTGCCATTCCCATTCCATGGCCTTGCACACACTCTCACCCACACACCATTCACAACATGTACTTTTGCCAACCTTGTGTAATGGTTTCTTTGATTCTATGCACTAATTTTCTTTGTCCAAAACATTTACTCTACCCTATGTTTGGGCATGTTTATCCTTTCTGCAGTAGTGGTGAAAGGATCATATGTAGCTAAAAGCAAGAATGCCCATTCTCCTGAATGCAGTGAGTAACGGGGAATCACAAGGAACATTCTGGCTCCCAGCTGTGCCCATGTTAGTTTTCATGAGTTTTCCCTACTCTGGAGCTGTAACACAGAAGGCACATCCATTCACATCGTTACCGCACTGTGGGTTCGCAGTGTGAGGCCCCGTTATTCCAATACCCTCCTTAAGGACATGTGAAGCATTTGGCCCAACTGGCTCCTAGAGAACATTTTAATTTAATATAGTAAGGGCAACTTCCTTGGACTTAGAACCAAGCTATCAGACAGTGCCCAGCACACATTAATGTTAGCTTCTTTCCGAGAAAAATTATCTCTTCAGGCCATGAAACAAAAAATACATTTGCTATGAAGATTGAAAATGAACAAAGTTAGGAAAAAAAAAAAAAAAGCAAAGTCAGTGATTTAGTCAGATGGGTTTTTTGTTATAGGAACACTTGATTTCTAGTGTGTTTTGTATAGCGTATAACTACAAAATAGCACGTTATGTAGCAATTCAAAACCAAAGTTGCTAGCATCATTTGGCTGTTGTGCCAGTTAATCATAGGATCCCATTAAATGTAAGAAGTGCTAACATCTAATGTAGAGGAAACTGTTTGGTAAGGAACATTCCAGTAGGAAAAGAAAAGAACAATTTTCTATTTCTGGGCTTGGCTGTCATCAGCCTGGTTGGACCTGTCCTGGGCCTTGAACCTGGACTGCTGGGCTCCTGGATTGGCTTCTTGGATTCCTATTTCCTGGTGTTTAATAACTCTTTCCAGGATCATGTTTTTCTTTCCCCGCCCCCCCCCCCAAAATAATGTTTTTTAAAAGACAGAAACAAAGGGAAGAATATTTAATTACTGAGCAGGAGTAAATACTGTTGATATTTTGTACATAATCTAATTTTTATATGCATGTTTGTGCTTTTTAAACTTTTTATCAAAAATGAAGTCATCTACATACTGCTTGTAACCAGCTTGTTTCATAACATGGTATTTTCCTGTGTCATTAAATAATTACCTCATGTTGTAAAAAAAAAAAAAAAAAAAAGAAAGAAAGAAAGAAAGGAAATTCTAGATCAGAGCTTCAAGTTCCCTTTCTGTCTCTGAGGATCTCCATGTAGGGCAGTGGTTCTTATGATGTGTAGGCTCCCTCCGAGGCCTACTGACTCAGAGCCTGTGGGGACTGGGCCAGGAATATGTATTCTGGCAAAATCTCTTCAGATAAATCCTGATAGATCCCAAAGGTTAAGAACTTTGGGAAACACTGATCCTAATGTAATCTAGTTTTTCAGACTCCGAAGGGGAGGCTCATTCCCTCAAAAAGCAACAGTAAGACAGAAAAAATAGCAACGCCCCAAGCCAGCCATTTATTTCAAGAAACAACAGGTTATTGGCATTACATGTTTGAAAATTCCCTTTGGTCTTCAGGGAAAATTAACAGAAAGCCAAGATTTGGAGGCTTTATAATAAGGACTTCCTGCAGAAAGTCATTTCTTTACTATTATAGTTGAGTAATTCATATTTAGAGTCAAATGTCCAGTAGCATTTCTAATTTTGAGCATTCACCTTGCTACCTTTAAAAAACATCTGAGTTTTAAGTGGCCTTTTTATTATCATACACATGTACATTCAAAGAAGGGACTTGGCAGTTTAAAAGCCACATATATTTACTTTTAGTTCCCTAAATTTACTTTACATGAAACATAGACATACCGGCAAACTCACATATTGCTGGTGCTAACCTTCTATTTCATAGTGTTGGCATATTCCCCTTTTCTTAGAAAAAAAAAAAAAAGAAAGAGTGAAAGTCCAAGTGTGGTCTGGAAGGCGAATGGACAGAGTTGGTGCTTGGATAGAATTGGTGCTCTGCAGCTTCATCATTTTCATCAAGAAAACAGATCCGAAGGAAGCAGACCTGAACAAATTATAATTCTCATCTTATCTCTATTAAGCGCTTTGTCTTTTCTGTTTGCCAGCTCTACTAAATTTATTCAAAATATCTGAAAGGCATTTATGGGCTTAAATTATGAAAACTTGTTGGTTTTGCACTTATCAACTTCACTATGGACATTATTTAGCAGAATAGTAAAGACGAAACCATGGGTTTGATATTCAATATAATGAAGTTTGAATCTCAGCTATATTCCATTTGTAAAATATAGATGATAATATTTTTCTAAAGTCCTTAGGATTGAATGTGATAGTATACATAGGCGTAGCTCACACTAATAGTTCAATGAATTATTATAATTATTGATTTTCATTGGCATTATTATTGGAGAACTTTTTCTAATGGAAAAAAATTATTTCTGTGGTGTCTATAACAACAAATTACCTATGAAAACATTTAACTTTTTGGTAGGAAGTGTGAGTATTCACATATAATATAATAAAAACTACATTTATTTTCAAATAGAAAAAGTCTATATTGTTTTTGAATTATAAAGTTAATATATGTTTATGATAAATTTTAAAGTAAGAAGTTAATGATAAAAAGTAAACCTCTCTCCTAATTTTATACCTCCAAGATTTAGGTTTATTCTTTCAGACTTACTAAAATGTATACTTACATGTATAGATACATAAATATATCTTTTTTACTCTTCTTTGGCTCAGTAGTATGACCCAGAGATTTTTATGTGTCATTACATAGAGAAAGCCCATTATTCTTAAGTTTCACATAGTATTCCATTACTTTGATAAATTATAATTTTGATATCATAATAATACTGGACTTTAAGTGTATTGCACACTTGTAGCGATCTCAAATTATGATAAAATAAATAAAAAGTTATGTGCTGTAGAATGGTTGCCAGTTTTTCTGATATTTTATCAGAATTAATAAAGGACATATAGTAGGGTTGATATAATTTCTTTTAAATTAATAATGAATAAGATAGCATTTTAAACATCCTAAAGCCACTTAAATGCTAGTACATATTTTAAAGGCCAGAGTGTTCTTTGCCCACGTCACAGCAAAAGTTTAAGCACATATTTGTAGGATATATCTTGAAAAAGAGAAATGTGTCAAAATGAGATAAATGAAGATATTTCAGTGACATTTACCATCAGATGAAGTAGACATTACAGTGAATGTAGAAAAAATGGAGGCACTCAAAATATATTATTGAGATTTAAGGCAAAAAGGTGGCTCTGCCCAGCCATGATACTGATTAGAAGAGCATGGTATGAGAGGACTGAAAGTAAAAATGAATTCCATTTTGATAAATTGTTTTATTTTAACTCACATAAGCAGAAAAAAATACATTTCAGAATGCATAAGAAATATTGCAAAAGCGATGAGTCATCAAAAACTTATATGTACCTTGTGTGCCAGTTTTTATTTTAATTCGATTTCAGAACTACAAATCAGCAAACCTGATTATGATCACAAAGATGAAGTCGTAAGTAGCTTATGTACTACTGGGCTTATAAGTACACTGAGGAAAAAACAATGTACCCATGATATACCCATGGGGATCCACTATGACAAATCATATTGTATTAACAGTCTAATTTTTAAGTTTTTTTTTACTAAATTTGCAGATTATAGGAATCTTGTCATCACAAATGATCAGGAAAATTAGCCAAAATAATAAAAGTCATCCTTGCTCTGGTTTTGGGTAAGATGATGTGTGAAATACCAGTTTTTAAGTTCTTTAGAGGAATGAGTCTTAAGCTAACCCTTAATCATTTTTCTACATGAAGTTTTTACAGTTATTGAGGTGAGATCAAAGATGAAATCTATATTATGTTTTCAACTGACTCAAAACTAGGGAGAACAATTGGGTGCAGTTTCAAAATTTTTCAGAGTGATGTGAAATATTAATGGAAGTTAGAACAATTCTAAGCCTAAAACCTTACAGAGCTTTCTGCTCTGGCAAGCCTCACCCGGCTCCCATTGTGTAGTCTTGATCAATGAAGAAAAGTGTTTCTGTCCAGAGAACGGCACAAAATTTGAAATAATTGGGATGCCATTTTAAACTCATCAAAAATAAAGGGTTCAATCTTGGGCAAATAGGTTAATAGTTTATCTTAGACGCAAAATTAAATTCCCACTGATATTATTTATTAAAAAAGTGAGACTGTCAACTCGCCTTTATTTCTTCTCTCCATTTTTCCTGTCATAGAGTATTTATAGAATGCCTACTTTATGACAGGTTCTATGCTAGGTGATACAGGAATTATTTTAAAAGATAAGTTAGAAAAGTGTCTTGCCATCAAAAAGTTTGTAGTTATATAATTGTGGCCACATGGTAGTGTGTACAGAGGAAGAACTTCAGAATGTAAAAGATTCATACACAAATTTTAATTTTTCCATTTTTAAATGAGGCCTTTGGGCATGTTACTAAAACTCTTTGAACCACCATCCCCTCATTTTTAAAATGGAGAAAATAGTGTTTATTTCATAATGTTGCTATGAGAATTAAATACAATAATATGATATTATTAACAGTAAATATTTAATAAAGGTCATTATTTACAAAAGAGATTTAGCCTTGAATGTCTACAATAAAAAGGG